GTTTATATATATATATATATATATATATATATATATATTAAGATTTGGCAACATTTGACAAGTGCGAAATACAATTTTACGTAGGCTTTTTCTTTTAGATACTGATAATTGTTTTTATCGTACTTTGTGTACTTGTATTTTGTGAAAAACTTGATAAATTTGATTATCGTAATTAACATTCGTCATTTCCATATTCGGCTATCAAAGAATTATCTTTATAATTATTTCTGTTGAAAATTACATTGATGTCTAATCTCTAATATTGAGAACTTAATCTCTAATCTCGAGACATCGCAACATCAAGAATCTTAAAAATTGAAAAATTGAATAGAAAAATTGAAAAGATACATTAATTGTCGCATATATATGCAACCTTCGGTGCTACGTTTAATTTTTTACGCGATACTTCTTTTGCTGCGATTACACTGCAATAATAAGTCTGACCCTATTTTGATGTCAATTATCTTATATTCATTTCTTCCGGCTATCTTGTACGACTTTGTATCGTTTGCATTCATTTTACTGCAAAATTGATTGTAACATTTTTACTGTAATATTATCATATTGTTTTTAAAGAAATCATTATTCCCTCTTTCTTTTATTGTTTCATTTATTGAAAGACAATATCTGCTATATTACAGTCCATGATCTCGAATGCGATTCAATGATTTAAAATTTATGTAGTATTATACAATTTTCCATACGCTTAGCACCCAACAATTCCGACGGTTGCGCTGAAAATGTGTTATATAATTGCTAATTTCCGTAATTGCAATGAAATGCACATCAATATTGAATGGATATGAATAATTAAACAATTATACAAATTAGTATTTATTGTAATGCCATTTTACTTATGCTAAATTAATCATGCTAATACTGTTGTTTCTTATAGTGCTTACGGAATATTAAATATATAATAAAGATTTATAATTGTTTAATTATTCATATCCATAATATATAAAATAAGTAGATAGATTTATATAAAAAAATTTAATTCTATAAAATATTTTAAGCACCTGTTATTGAATACATTGGAGACATCAAAATAAATAATTTTTCTGTTTATAATATTAATATATGAAATTATAAATCATGATTTATAAATACATAGGGCAATATTTATTTTAATTAAAATTTAAGAATAAATTACTTTAATTTCTTTCAAAGTCAAATATTTCATTTGAATAAAATGCAATAGTATTTATAAATACACATTATTATCTCGTTATACGTGATTTACATATTGAGATAAAAGCAGCAAAATGTTATCGCAATTTCTCGAAACTCATTTTCGTTATTAATCCTCTGTCAATAAAAATAATTCGGAATCTGATAATATTAATTGTTCATATTTTGCTTTTTTCATACGGATGAACCCATTGGAATAATGATAATAGCGGTATATACAAAATTGTTAGTTTAAAGTAGAATAGTCATTTTATAACTTTTTTTATTACAAAGGAATATCGATAAAACAGGCATACATTATCTTGAATTATGAGAAAAACAATTTAATCACATTTCATGTGACGTAAACAACAAGTATAAAACAATCTAATTATAATACATAATTGTTGCATAAATAATAAGAAATATAAGCATCAAATATATGCGACTTTACGAGTTGAATTTAATTGTTTTTTTCTATGAAGCGAAAACATTTGTTAAATTATTTATGTTACAATTTAATCTAATTTGAATTTATAAAAAGCACAAGTTTCTCATAAACATTAGTATGATAATAACATCAAATACGTTGCACGAATTTCTCATAAACATTATGTTATAAGAGCTTAAAATATATTATAAAAAAGTTTAAAAGCTATTTTAATATTTCTAATGTTTTTTATAATCTATTTGTTATCATCATTTTTTAGCAAAGTAATAGTATATAATTTGATACTTAGAATATTTCCTTGTTTCCTTGTTTGTTTATAATTCTGAAAAAATTCTTAAAAAATGAGTTATTATTAATTTAATTTAATATTACAGTTTACAGTTTTGATATGCGTACTATAGTACGTTTATAAAGTACATTTTTATAATAGCATTTATAATAGTAATTATGTAGTTTTAATTTTATAATGTATTTCTGAGAATATAAATTTGTTATTAGTTATTTCTGAGTATAAATATTTGTTATTAGTTATTAACATAAAAAAAATATAGATTTTATGCAAAGATCTAGAGATCTGATTTAAAATTTAAATATAAATGTATGATGAAATGTATCTTTTATAATGATTCTGTTTATAACACTATGCTCACAAGCATTCAGTTTAGTTGTTCTCCTGAACTTCCAGCGGTCGACTCAATTGATTTAACTGTGAGTTTTTAGAATTAATTTTGATTTTTCGTTCTTTTCATTGATTTTCAATTCTTTATAAATCGATAATAACACATTTGTGAAAATATTCTACTTAATATAAATGTAAAGATGAGTGTTCTGAATATTAGCTTTGTGCCATAAATATCCATTTCTTGGAAATTACCCATCTCAGAAAACTTGTTACATGTATTTTAATCAAAAATTTATAAAACATTTATTTAAATTTATAAAACATGTATTTTAATCAAAATTTATGAAACATTTCAAAGCGAAAAAATGAATTTTTAATATGCATTTTATGCTTCTAAATTGAAAATTCTAAAAAGATTATTCCATGTATTATTTGGACTTTTGAGATTTAATAATTATAAGTAGACTTTAGTAATATAAAAATATATCACTCTGGAGATATTTGATAGTCTGTTTATATTCGGTATTCATATGTTTATATTAATAATTTTATAACATAAAATATTTAAAAAATTAATTAAATTTATTTTATAACATAAAAAGGTTGTTTAATATTTTTTAAAAAAATGAGACTGAGAAAAATTTACAC